ACCTTTCTTGAGGGGGTTGAATGACTTTCTCTACATCTTAGGGCAGAAATTACTGTTCTTTTAAATTATTTTTTTAAACAAGACCAGTGTTGTTGTCATTGCAAAAAAATCGATTCAGTGTAACATAATTGCTAATCAATTTGGGCAAGAGAATTTTGGAGCAGCTTCCATTAAGAAGCCTTAACTTTTGACTTCTCTTGTGTTTCATAGGTCAGGATCTCTCTTTAACACTGGATTCCTCAGGAGGATGCTCCTGGAGGCTGTGCAGTATGGCTTGGATGAAGCTCAGCCACTTCTGAAGACATTAGTTTGTGAAGCAGAGTGCACAACTCCCAAACATTTTTCTACCCACAGTCCTGGTGATGAGAACAAACAAGGTAAGAAAAGGGGCAGCCTGTTCACAGAGAGGACTGGCTTTGTGGTGATTCTTAGAGATGCTGATGTCTGATAAGTTACTTAACAGCAGTGTATCCATAGAGTTGAATGCACTATTGAATATTTGAATTACTTCATTCTGTGTAATTAAAGCATTTTGCCACTTTACAGTAGAATTAATTTTGCCTTCTAATTGTATTCTAGAAGAGTGTGGTGTATATATTAGAACACAAAATACTTCTGCAGAATCCTACTTAGTACATGGTAAGTGGAGCATTTCGGTGAAGCCTTTTTTATATTTAACAGTATTGCACTCTGGAGTTTTTTCCCAGCCAGTACTGATTAGATTTTATCTTTATCCAGAATCATATTTATTGATAAAAGCAGAATGCCAAATATTCTATGAAGGCCACTGTAATTTACTTGTTACTACTGAAAATGGCCTGTTGATTAAATTCCGGCCCGGTTTTACCTCTGCAAACACCAGCTTAGAAAAGCAGGCACACAGCTGAAGTTGCTGCATGGCTTTGTTTTTGTGTGTGCTGTCTGAGGCTTTGCTGGTGTTTTTGGGGTGCCTGTGAGTGCTGAGTGGTTTCTGTGGCCTTGTTGTGGTGCAGGCAAGAGGAAAAGCGAGGAGGTGCTGCGCAGCGCGGCGAAGCGGCAGCGGGCCGAGCACAGTGCCGAGCACCCCCCGTTCTACTACAACGTCCACCGGCACAGCATCAAGGGCATGAACATGCCAAAGTAAGTGTGGCTTCACCTTCCAGCCCGGTCTGACACTGACACACAGCTTGTTCTGAGTCAGCCCCAGCAGCACCGTGTCCGTTCTAAATGCGGGAATTTGGTTTTGCTGCCTTTCTTCCCAGGTTAAATAAGTTCCTGAACTATCTGTCAGAGGCCGGATACCGCGTGAGCCGAACGCACTTCGACCCCATGGGAGTCCGCACCAACGCGCCCCTGGTGCAGTTCAAGACCATTCTCATGAAGTACAGCACTCCCACCTATGTGGGGGCACAGGCAGAGGGCCCTGTGCATCTCCCCGGAGAGATCCAGGTGGGAGAAGAGGTTCCAGCTGCTGCAGTGATGAAGGTGGAGGAGGCTGAGGGGGCGGAAGATAAATCCGGGGTCGCCACCACCGTGTTCACAGAGTCCTACCCCACTCACTGTGCTGCTGAATAATGCAGACGGGTTTGTTCATCAGGATGTTACAGACTTCCAGCACACCCTGTTCCAGTAAACCACTCCTTCCTCCCAAGCTGGAGTTTGACCGTTTTGAGCTGCCTGTTATACTTGGAAGGGACAGTTTAGACTTAGGTAACAGAATTTAGCCCTGATCCCAGCATGGCTGTGGTCACAGAACCAGCACTGTGGGAAGGCTGTGGAGTTACCTGCTTTTATGTTCACCTCTTTTTCACACTGAGGCATGGAGGCTGCTTCCCAGTCTGTCCAAGCCTTACTGCCAGCACGGCATCCAGGAGGTGGGACAGGGCTAACAGTGTTCAGCATTTTGGAATATGACATTATTGTGAAACAGCCTGTTCCTAAAATGCATCATTCCTAAAACCTGGCCAGCTATGATCCAGAGAGAGAGGGCATTTAAAGGTAACAAAATAGTACAGATAAAATGTCCTCTAAGTTAAAGCCAGGCAGTCCTGCCTGAGTGCAGCTGTAGCTCCAGGTTGCACATGTAACTCTGCATTCAGGTCTGTTTCCAGGGTTCTGCCTCCAGGCAGGAGCTGATCCCAGGAGAACAGGAAGGACTGGTGACACAGCTGCTAGCGAACTTCAGTTTGTACCCAAATCGTAGTGAATTGTGTAGTCACTCTAGGTAGTTGTCTGCTCAGAGCTTACAGTGGTTGTGTGCTGCAGAAAGGTACAGGGACAAGGGACCACACTGGACCTTCAGGTGAAGTTTGTGGTGAGTTGTCAATAGTAACTCTGAGCTAAGATCTCTTCTGTGAAGGAGCAAAGCTGCCAGGTGTTGGCAGTTCTGGTTTCCTTAAATATATGGCAGCATTCCAGCCAAACGAGCTTGCCTTTGTCCTTTCTTTCCCCCACACTTAGTTCTGGTATCTCTGTGTATTCCACTTGAACAGCTGTCGGCAGTGGTTGCCATTTCTCACAAGTTTGGTGTTCAGCCTGTCCCCCAGTGTTAGGTTTATCCAAGAGCAGAATATGAGGGGTTATTATCCTTACCCATCTCTGAAACTTTACAATAGAAGTAACAGGGCTAATATACTCCTGATGATGCAAAACATCCTATGCTCCTGTCAGGCCAGACAGAAGTTGCTGCCTCTTCTACTCTCTTCAATTCCAGATTGCTTTGGTGGAGAGTTATCCTCTTCTCTAGTTTCAAAAAGGAAGAACCCACTGAAGGGTTCTTGAATCAGTGACACAGCAATGTTTCCTTGAAAAATGCAGTGCTTACAGTTCTTTTCCAAAGACCACCTTGGAGCACATTGGAAAGCTAAATGGAAGGAGATAATTTCACGTTCCCTAGTGGCATTTTTGAGTTTTTAAGTGGATAGAGTGTTGGCAGATGTTGCTTGCAGGTAACACACGTCAGTGTTAGTAGGATAAAAGCAGTCCTAAAGTCAGTTACCTGGGGCAAAGGATTGTTCTGATTACAGTAAATTAGGCTAAAGAGAAAGTTTTAACTGAAGGCCCTTGTAGGAAATACTTTTAATTACTCTTGCAGCTCCTTTTAATTGAAGGTATTGAATACCTTTTCCAAGCCAATGCAACTATTCCCAAGTTTTTGGAAGGGCAGAAAAAGTGAAACTCAGACTTGTCTGTACAATCTGGGCTCTTTTCCTCTGCCAGACAGGCAGAAGCTGTTGTAATCTGTCAGGGACCAGCTGAAGGGGTGTTTGTAACTCAGGCCTCTGGGAATTCTTTTCCTATCCAGCAGTTGTCTCTGCTGTTTACCAGGTAGGGCCAGTCCTGCCATAATCAGCTAACAGAGACCATTACTGCAGGTTTGAGTCTGGGGCTTGGGACATCTTGTTCCTCCTTGCACTGATCCACATGGCCAGGAAGCTTTCTGGGAGTTGAGTGGCAGTTGTTCAGAGGCAATTTGGATAACCAGTGGTGGCCCAGAGAGCAGCAGGATTTCTTCAGTCAGAGACTGTTCATTTTCAGTGCATCTCAAGAAACCCTACACTGGGCATACTCAAACATTGCCTCTTAACTCAAGGTGCATTCTCTGGTTAAAAGTTGTGGTGCATGTAGAGAGAAAACAAGGAAAGGAACAAAACTTGATCTCTCTAAACAATGCACCTCAGCTGAAGGGATTCATTACAGTTGCTCTCTGCTGCTCTTGACTGAAGCTGCCTAATACTTAAATGCACCCAAAGTTGCTGGGTTTAACCAGAGTGCTGTGAAAATCCTTCATCCCCTTCTCCTCAGGCTGCAGGATCTGGTTGGAACAGCAGCACCTGTGACAGGTCAGTGGAAGAGCTGACACCTTCTGTGTGCCCCTTTTTCTCACTCAAGGCTCAGGAGCTGAGCTGCTCTCAGGGTCTGTAACAGCCACCACTGGTGGAGCTGAGCTGCACCTGCACAGCCCCACACATGGCAGCATGAACAAAAACACTGCCCAGAGGGGGTCCTTCATCAACCAGAAGAGGAAGCAGCACTGCAATTCCCAACAGACTGTTGATAACATTTTTGCTTTTATTGTCAATTTGAGCATTTCAGTGGGACTTTAGTTGGATAGGAGATACTTTAGTTGGATATTAGGCTTACCCGTACGTGACACACATTATGTACTTACAAAAGAACATGGCTTTAAAAGGGGGAAGGATAATGGCATTTTGAAAATAAAATAGTTTATAGCACTAAAGAGTCACAGTGCAATCAATGGTTTAATCAAACAACTACATTATATATATAATATTTAAAGAACATAAATATTCAGGAAATTCACTACAACATGAAAATAAAAGCTTCACATTCTCTCACGCTTTTCAAAAGAACTGGAGACAAAGTGACAGCTCCTAGACAAACTGCTCAGCTTCACAACACCTCTCTTGCTTAAGGGACTGCCTCCCCTCAGCTCCCCCCAGGAGGGATGCTGGCACTAATCTAGAAGTTCTCCCCAGTAACTTTAAAGCATTTAGCACAGCCGCTCCCCCACCCCCCATTATATTCCGTGGACATGCACTACAGTCTATACAGCAACGCTTCACAAAGTCAGCAAAAACAGGTCCCTAATAGCTGCCCCTCTGTGCTCTGGGGCCTGAACTCTTCCATTTCATATCACAAAAGCCCAAGGCTTTCCAGTCAGAGGAAATAATTAAGTTACTCAAAGAAGCCTGTGCAGTTTCCACAGCGGGATAAAGCTGATCTGAACAGCAGCCAGCAGGGACACTATTTACAAGTGCTAGGAAAGCCCAGAGCCAGGGAAGGGCAAGTCCTTCCCAGGAGAATCCCCAAGCAGCAGAATACTTTAATATCAAATGCCAAAGCCAGTGGGAGTCCAGGCAGGACACAGGAGGAGTGTAAACCACACACTGGAGTAAAGCCTGGTGCCTCCCACCTACCACCAACTCTTTTTGCTTCGAGCCTCAGGGGCAAACGGGAGCAAAGGGAGCCTCGTGGTGACAGCTTCCCTTCAGACAGGACGTGGAACAGGTCAGGCTGCCCCCTCAGAGCCACAGCAAGGTCCAGAACCAGGGTGCATGCAAATGACCAGCAGCTACCGGGCCTTAGAGCACAGCCCACTGCCACACTGGGAAACTTGAGCCTAAAAGTAAGACACTAAATGGTAAACTTTGTCAAGTACTGAAGTTGTCTTCCAAAGTGCTAAGCCATGTTTGTTAAAGCTATGGCAAAGTAACAAAAGTAGAATCTTGGAGCAGCTTACAATTGAAGTCTTCCCTACTCACACTGACACTGGGAAAGGTCCCTGCTGGGGTGGCGCCATTCCCCAAAGCAAAGCATTTTGATGGCTATGTGCTGGAATTTGGGGGATTTGCTTTAACAAAAAGGTTTTCTGGACAACTCTTTACAGCATATTCACAACAGAGATCCTACTCTAGGGAACAGAGCAGGGCTATGAAACATCCAGATTCCCTTCAGTTCAGCTGTGAGGACAGGGCAACATTGCAGGAAGGACCAGGCAGGAATCAAGACTGGCATGGCCTGCATGGGGAAGAGTTATGGGTTTGGGCTGTTTGGGTGTTTTTTGACTAAAATAGCCATTAAAAACAAAACCAAGCCAATCTGATGAACCACTTTGCACTGAAGTATTAAATTAGGCCCAGTAAACAGCAAGGTTTTCAAGCGTCAGTTTTCTCACTGCAGCTGTCTTTGGAATCCCAGAATCCCAGGATGGTTGGACTTGGAAGGAACCTTAAACACCATGTCAGTCCAAGCTCCTGCCATGGGCAGCAATACCTCTCACAAGATGCAAAATTCACCTTTGTTCACAAGAAAGTATCTTAATGAACCTTTCCTAGGGAATCAGATTACCTCTGGCTGCAAGACTATCCCAAACCCATTCTCTACCACTCAATTCTTCAGATGGGTAACAGTCACCAAATTCCAACATTTAAGACATTCCTTGGCATATGCTACTATTGAACAGACTTCCTTGGCCACCCAACACTCCACACTTCACAGAGGCTACTATAACTGATGGAGCAGAAATCCAGATTTACCTGGACAAAATGAAGCCATTCCAAACCGGAACACTGGATCAGATATCATGCATTAGGAACAAAAAAGCATCTCAAACACTGGAATGCACTGGAGGTCATTTAGTCTCCTAGGGAAAAACCAAAAAACCCAACCCAAAGACTAAATTAAATACAGCCCAGAATACTGTCTAGTCATATTACTGAGTATAGTAAGAGTGCTTGAAGGCACCACGTGTGTTGTCCATGAAGATACTGGTGGTGCCTTATTTTAATATTAAAGAAGTCGTAGCTATAAAAAGAGTTAGTTCCATCCCAGTTTCCCAGCACTTATTTGTGCTCCTTGGTGGGGGCATAGTACAGTTCCATGGGTTTGTTCACTTTCCAGTACTTCTCACTGACCAGTTCCAGGGAAAAGGACCCATTTAGCACCTAGAAGAGAACAGCAAAACAGGAATAAATTAGGTAATCTGGTGTTGTGCTGTGAAGCAGGCTGCTTAAATCAATGCTTAAATGTATTGACTTGAAGGAGTCACCAGTAATGTGGCACAAGTTGTGGGGGGATAGAATGTAAGAAAATAAAGATAGTGGAGAAGGCAGTCTCACCCCTGAGGAGTTGCAGCTGCACTAATCACCAAAGATTAGGAACAGGCCTGCCCTTAACAGCCCACAGCTGTGTCCAATAAGAATGAGTGCTACAAAAGAGTGGGTTAGCTGGGTGAGAAGGGAGTTGGAGTTTGTTGGCTGTGCTGTGAGGAAGAAGTCAGTACTGCAAGGAGCTGCACACGAGAAATCACTGAGAGGCTATGGGAGCTTTGCAATAAGATGACAACAAGTTACAAGCTAAAAACCACAAAGATTCTCAAGTGCGTAAGCTAGGTCACGGTTGGTGCCATTGTTGCCTTTTCCCCAATTAATTTCTATGCCTCCTTTTCTACCAACTAAGTTTTTCCCAAAGAGCAGCTGCTGTGCTGCTCCATAACTGGTGCCATGCGTTTCCCCTGCGCCCAGCAGCGTGTCTGGAGCAGGGGCGGCGCGGTGCTTACGGTGAACTGGCCGGCGGCGGTGGCGATGTAGATGGTGTACTGCTTCTCACTGGCCGTGTCCAGGTTCATCTGGTTGGACTCGCCTTTGCTCCGCAGCTCCTCCAAGGCCAGCCTCACTGCCAGGTACTTGGACAGGTGATCGACTGTGGCATTGCCCGAGGTCTTGATGTACCTGTGACAGCAGCCGAGAAGAATTTCCACAGATCGTCAGTAATGACTGAGCAGCAGCTGTGGGAAAAGCCATTTGCAACGCCCCAAATATTAAAGGTCAGCTGTGAAAAGGCCTTTACAGACAGTTCCCAGCTGAAGATTTGCATAGATTTACACACATCACAGAGAGATGTCTCATCAGCAGACAAAGCCAAGAAAAGACCTGAGGAAACACCATAAAACTACTCAGTGCTGTGAGCCAAAACTTGCAATCTGTGCTTGGACTGGATTATGAACAAAAAAGTCAGGAAAAGCTGCCAGCCTGCAAATCCTGCTGACACAAAGCTGCTCTGGAAACTGCTGACACTTATACAAGGTTTGTTTATTCCCAAAGAATCTTAGAGTAAGTAGAAAGGGGCTGATATAACACCATCATCCCACTACTGAACTGCAATGCTAGAAAACCTTAAAAACATCTTTATTTGTGATCAAAGGCTTAAAATGGCTTATGACCGTATTTTTTATAATAGTTGAGCAGTACCATCTACCTGACTTGGAACAGAAAGAAGGGGAGAATGCTTATTTGTATCTGGCCTTGGCACAGGTTGCCCAGAGAAGCTGTGACTGCCCCTGGATCTCTGGCAGTGTCCAAGGCCAGGTTGGATGGGGCTTGGAGCAACCTGGGATAGTGGAAGGTGTCCCTGCCCATGGCAGGGGGTGGCACTGGATGGGCTTTAAGGTCCCTGCCACTTCATCCTGTGATACAGTTAAACAGGGTGTGATATGACTGAAATAAGCTGATGTTCAGAAGCCCCAAGAAGTAATGGAAAACCAAATCACCAGGAAATAGTAGCAGAATACCTGGAGATGGCAAGATGCCACTGACCTTGTCTGTGCACTGTCGTCGTTCTCCATGAGGGTGGGGTGAGGCCTGAACACCAGCTCAATCTCACTGGCCCCGTCCATCACGGGATCTATGGCCACAGTGGTGTTGTTGTTGTCCAGCTCCAGCCCAGAGTCATCTGAGGTTTTGGTCCTCTTGTTGCTGGGCCCAGCTTCCTGGTTGCTGTGTGTGGAGGCATTGCTGCAGTGGGAGCTGTCGCCGTTGTCCTCGGCCCCGCTGCCGTTCTCAATCTGCTGCTTCTTGCCCCGCTGCAACCTGGCCACAAACAGGTAGAGATACAGCCTGACCCACCCAGAATCCAGCCAGGTCGCAACACACCTCCTCCCCAAGTGAGGCACGTGCACACACAAGCACTTAACATTTCAGAGAGATTTAAAGTTAAAAAAATTACTAATATTAATTCTTTAGTAGAGAAAGATACTCTTAGACAGAACTATTCACTTTTTCATGTCCCTCAAACCCCTTTTAGCTATGTTTTAACTTCACACAGTTGTTTTTCAGGCAATTGCAGACCATTATTTTCATCCAAGCATGGATTAGAATTATTACATGTTATTAGAATTATCCACATGTGATTAGAATTATTTAATCACACCATGTTTTATCATGCAAAGTTTGGGGCCTCTCTCCCAGCTGGCTCTCTTAGGTTTAAATGCACATCTGGAATTTCACCACGGTGTAAACACCACATATTCCAGCCTGTGAATTAAGTCACAACTAAGCCCTAAGTCCTGATATTCTGTGCATTTACTGGTGTGTAAGGGTAGCATTTTGGTACAGGATTCACGGTGTTATGGTTTCTTATCTAAGACATGACAGCCATAATTGGGTAAAGCTAAGCTGAAGTTTCTGTCAGGCTGCCACAGAAGTTGCAGGGAGTGATACCGAGATTTCTGATAGTAGATAAAAGGTTAAAAATCCTTTTGCCAAAGGTTAGAAAATGTTTGGGCAGATACCAGAGGAAGAACAGATTCTCAAGCTCCACAGGGCACGAGGCCAGGCATTGTATTTTTAGCCTAAAGGCAAACAAGGTGATTATGTACCTGTTCATAGCCTGAATCTTTAATCCCTCCTCGATGCTGTGACTCAGGGCTTGCTGGTTGTTGTGCTTGCTGATCCTGGCCAGCACCCTCTCCTGATGAGCCTCGTACTCATCCCGGCTCGGGTAAATCTTACTGATGAGAGCGTCAAAATTGGGGTCTGGCCGCAGGGATCTTTTGGAAACGAGCTTTTTGCGACATGTGGGACATTCTTTGTTCCTGGACGTGGGCAGGAAGGAAGCAAACAACACTTAACTCTCCAGCAGTAACAAAACTCTGCCCTGTTGCTTCCATTCTTGGTGAAGGTGCTTGCTAAGGCACAGTAATTTATGGTAAATCTGGAAAGGGGCTTCTGTCTCTTGACACATCAGGTAGTTACAGATATTTAAACAAAGATCCCAAACAGATCTCTCCCTGCTGCTCTTTTATTTTAAAGTATGTTTGAGCAAACTATTTAGACTGAAGAGATCAGAAGTCCCAAGTTCCCTTCTTCTCTTCATTTTCTGGATGGATTTTTACCTAGAAAAACTGGATGTCTAATGGAAATTATACAGAGGCATAGTCTTAGGAGGAAATTCTTCTCTGTGAGGGTGGGGAGGCCCTGGCACAGGGTGCCCAGAGAAGCTGTGGCTGCCCCTGGATCCCTGGCAGTGCCCAAGGCCATGATGGGGCTTGGAGCAACCTGGGCTAGTGGAAAGTGTTCCTGCCCATGGCAGGGGTGGGACTGGATGAGCTTTAAGGTTCCTTCCAAGACAAACCATTCCAGGATTCTATGATTCCATTTTTTCCAACACTTACAGGACACATAATTTGAAGTGGCTGAGGGCCACATAATTTGAAATATATCATTAGGAAAAGAAAGAATAAGGGAAATGAACCCCATTTTTGTCAGTAATGTGTATTTTTGTTTCACTGTTACTGGATCTAAGGGACAAAAAGAATACAAAAAAGGACTTCAACTCCTTGCAAGACACAGAATTATGAAATTATTTTTCACAAGGAAGCAATTTGATCTGTCTTCCAGAGATGGCTGAAAATGGAAAAACAGGATTTGAAAAGTGTGCTGCACATTCAGAAACCCTCAGCACACAGTGACTGTCCCACATCAACCCCGCCAAGGACACTTCCACCTGCAGTGCAATGGACTGTCCAAGCCTTCTTTCCTCCATGGTATTCATCCCTACCCATGACAGCATCCCCTTCTGGTCCTCTGGCAGCGTCCCATCCCTCTTCCCAGCAGTGTCACATCCTTGGCAACGTCCCCTCCCCGTGCCTTGGCAGTGTCCCATTCCCATGCCCTGGCAGTGTCCCCTCCACATGCCTTGGCAGTGTTATCCCCACCACATCCTGGCAGTGTCCCTCCCCTGTCCCCTGGCAGTGTCCCTCCCCTGTCCCCTGGCAGTGTCCTCTCCCTGTCCCCTGGCAGTGTCCTCTCCCTGTCCCCTGGCAGTGTCCCTCCCCTGTCCCCTGGCAGTGTCCCTCCCCTGGCAGTGTCCTCTCCCTGTCCCCTGGCAGTGTCCTCTCCCTGTCCCCTGGCAGTGTCCCTCCCCTGTCCCCTGGCAGTGTCCTCTCCCTGTCCCCTGGCAGTGTCCCTCCCCTGTCCCCTGGCAGTGTCCTCTCCCTGTCCCCTGGCAGTGTCCCCTGGCAGTGCTCACGTACCCGCTCCTGAGGGCAGTGATGATGCAGTCGGCGCAGAAGCGATGCAGACACTCCTTGGTGGTCATGGTGTTCTTGAGCATGTCCAGGCAGATGGGACACATGAGCTCACTGTGCAGGCTCCTGGGGGATACCACGATCTCCAGGCCATCTGTGATGGCTTCCTGGCAGCAAAGAAAGGAAAGGTTCTTTCCTGGGATTGAGTCCCTTCCTCATGGAGACAGCGTGTTTTACCCAAGGGAACACAGCAAAGAGACACGAGACACAAACACATCAAGTACACAAAACCCCAGTGCTGCCAGCCCTGCAATAAAAACAAGGAGCTGCTGGAGAGGGTCCAGGGGAGGCCAGGAAGCTGATGAGGGGTCTGGAGCATCTCTCTGATAAGGAAAGACTGTGGGAGACCTGGTCAGTCTGGAGGAGAGAGGACAGAGAGGGGAACCTCATCAATATAACAGTGCCAGACTCTGTTCAGAGCTGCCAGTGGGTAAAGCTCTGATGTTTGTAAGGATGTAAAGGATGAGGAGCAATGGCCATAAACCAAAACACAACAAGCTCCACCTCAACACGAGGAAGAACTTCTTTCCTTGGAAGCTGCAGAGCCCTGGAACAGCTGCCCAGGGAGTGGAGTCCCCCTCTCTGGAGACATCCCAAACCCCCCTGGATGTGCCCCTGTGTCACCTGCTCTGGTGACCCTGCCTGGGCAGGGGCTGGGCTGGGTGACCTCCAGAGGTGCCTCCCAAGCCCAGCAGTCCCAGAGCTCTGTGATTACCTGGGGTGTTCTCTGCAGCTCGTACAGACTGAGCTCCCAGGTCTTGCTCAGAGGCTGCGTCCCGTTGGTCTGCACGGCCTGAGACATGGCTGGGGAAAGAAAGGACAGGGGCTGAGCACTCAGGTGAGGCTGGCTCAGGATCCTCTCCCCTCCCAAGCCACAGCAGCGTGTGTCCAGCCCGGCAGAGGCTCCAGGGAACAGCAGTCCCGCCACGTACCAGGCTCTGCTGTGTCACACAAGGATAATCCCCTGCTTGTACCACTCCAGGAGAACTGGGGGAGCCGCTCAGCCGTGAACACTTGGCAAAAATCAATTCAGTTGTTAAACAAAAGTGACACAGAACTGAAGGCCAGAGAACATGGGCCACAAATGCCGCCTGATGCGGAAAATATTCCTCAAACATCCACTTCCAAACACGCACATGGGTCAGGCAGGGTCTGCTCCCTACACCGAGGGAAGGGCAAAATGAGACAGGACACAGCACACCAGTCAAATGTGCTCACTGGAGCACACCACGAGGGCTTTTCCTTCTTCAAATCACATCCCATGGGCTTGCCCAGCACAAGTTTGAAGGATACTTTCTCTTGAAAGATCAAGAGAAAACCCAGTCACTGCATAATTTAAATAGTAATAATAATTTTAAAAACCCAGAGAAATTGCTCTGCTGTTCTATCAAAATTTTACTATTATTGTCTGATATGAGGCAATATTACCACACAGAGTCACTGCAGATGTGGGAAAAGTCTGGTCAAAATGACAGAAGAAAATTATGTTTCTGAACAGAAAATACTATTATGTTGGGGGAGAGGAGGCATTGCTTCCTATGACTCCAAAAAATGCCTGCCTTGAGCAGGAAAACTTATCCCAGAGAGTGGTATGTTTAAAAAAATAATTGTAACTATGTAAGTGGCAAGACTGCAGTTGCAGACCTTTTTTGTAGGTGGAAGAAGTGCTTTTATTCCTTCTTTAAATCTGGGTTTCCAGACCCTTCAATTCAGCAGCCAAATTCATTTTCTATTGGCATCTACCACACACATTATAATCTATTTTCCAACTCATTAAGTTCCCTATGAAAAGTCCCAAACTCTCTGGAGAACAAGGTTACTATATAAGCTTTAATTAATTGTAAAGGGAAAAGCAAGATAAGCTGTGCAGAGTATTAGATCTACTTTCATCCAGGCACAGAAATCAGAGTTTTCTCACTTGGTATTTTCCTTCTTTTTGAAGAAGGAGGGGGAAAAAGCCTGACATAAAATAGCCATATCCAGTAGTATGTCTATTCATTAGAATCACAGAATCCTGGAATACTTTGGGTTTGACGGAAGCTTTAAGACCATCCAGTTCCAACCCCTGCTATGGGCAGGGACACCTTCCACTATCCCAGGCTGCTCCAAGCCCTCTCCAACCTGGCCTTGGACATTCCCAGGGATGGGGCAGCCACAGCTTCTCAGGGTAATCTGTGCCAGGGCCTGCCCACCCTCACAGGCAGAAATTTCTTCCCAATATCCCATCTAACCCTGCCCTCTGGCAGATCAAACCTCTCTCTCTCTCTCTCAGAGCCACCAACAAGCAGTAGTTGCTTGGATTAATGCTGTGGCCAGAGAGCCATTCTTGTCAATCATTCAGGAAACCACCTTAATCAATATTATATGGACCCTTGCAACCCTTCAGACTGACTCAGTCTTCAGGCACAGCAAAAACCCTGAGCACAAACTCCATAATTACAGGGGACACACATCTGTCACCATCAAAGCCAGAGATGATAGATAAATCAACGTATTGCACCTCAACAAATCTGAAGAAAACCAGTTGGGATTTAAAAATTTAAGAAAGTGAGTCTTGTTCTTGAAGCACTGGAAAACGGGCAGTTACAGGAAAAATAACAGTAAGGAACACCCTGTCTGATGCCCTTGGATCTCCTGCCTGCTCACTGGCTGGGGAATTTATGCTGGGATGTTCCTCTTCCAAATATGCTTGCACAAAAAACTGCAGCAGACTAATATCCACACTTGTAACACCACATCTACTTCACAACCTCTTACACTGAAATATACTTAATTATTTACTCCAACATAGTCATGGCTGAAGTAGGGTAGGAATTTGGATGTCCCACTCCTGAAACTGTCCAGTAAAACTAAAATCCAGCTGACAGCACTTAGAGCAGCCAGATCTTTGGGCAGCCAAAGGAGGAGCTCAGCACCACCATTTCTCTACTCCTGCCCTTCCTAACTTATCTTTCACAGGTTTCCACCCTCAGATCCACCAGTGAGTAAAAGCTGCTTAGTCCTATTGCTGAAAAGTGTCAGATCTGAGTATGTAACATTTGCTGAGCTCTAGCCCAGCACTAACCTTGATGGTGGTCCTGCTTTAAACAGGGAGCAGGGGATGCCATCAGGGATCCCTCACTACCTGGATTATGATCCAAAATACTTTGCAGGACCTGTTTTAGCCCAGACAAAGGCCAGAGAGCATCTGCAGTGTGGCTGTGTCAGCACACCTTGAGATCAGAGAAAGGCTGGAGTGGTACCAAGCAGCTGGAGAGAGAACCCACAAACCCAGCTCAGGTGTGACCATAACCACACCACCCCCATTCAACTTTCTGGGATACTTTCATGAAAAAAAAACCACTTATGAGGAAAAAAATTGCATCAGGCTCTTGAAAAAAAAAAAAAGATTACACATATTTATAGAGAGTATTAAAATCTTAGAAATAACTGATTTCTGTTCCAAGTTGTAAAAGGTAAATATTTGGACTTAAAACAGTAAGACAGTCAGACCTCTATTCAGTGTGCCAAATTCAACAGCACCTTCAACCATTTCTGGGTTTTCTTCCTCAGGATTAATTCCTTTAAAAACAGGTATTCATAGTGCAGTTACTTGGAAATTTAACAGGTTTAGAGCTTTAAGTTTTACTCTCACACTATGACTAGTATTGGGAACAGACTGCACGTTTTCACAGAGTGCTCAACTCAATCATTCATTTCAAATTATTCAATTAAAGCATTCTGAAATTTAAGGTTTTTTCTGGTTTTACTTGTTGGCTTAGAGCTTGATTTAAAAAAAAATCCACACAATCTGGAAGGTACTATCTGAAGGAATTAACCTCCCCTGCACTTCCCTGGCAGTTCAGATAGCTTTACATCCAGCTGTAATCCAGGAGAACTGGTACTAGATTATAATCTAGTATGTTTAGTATTCACTCTGAAGTTATGTGATGACATCTGACTGAGGGAAAAAATGATAGTGGCATTTCTGAAACCTTGGAAGCACATGGTCTTTTACAGCTTCTTGGCTGTTACTTACTCTCCTAAGAAAGTGTTTTGCCTTTGAGGTATGGAATCTTCCAGCTCACAGCCACTCACAATTCCCTGGCCTGAGATGGATCAACCCATGGAGCTGGGCAGCATTTCCAACCTGGCTGTCAAGCTGCTGCTCCTGGCCTGGAGACACTGGAGTGTGACCTCACACAAACCATCTGCTGTGCATCTGGACACCTCTGGAAGGGCTCCATGAATCCCATGCTGACACAAGTGTCCAAAGGGAGATAATCCTCCTGGTTTAGATGTCAAGGGCAACAGGGGAAAATAAAGTACCAAATTAAACTGTTGATCAACCTCCAGGCTGTTTTATGAGTGTTGGGAACAGCCATGTGCTTTCAGACATGACACAAAGATGTGACTGATTTTAGGTTGGTGCTTCTCTGTATATTTACAGCAGGAAATCATAGCAGCACTGAAGCACCCTGAGCCCAGGTACATCCCTCCTGTGGAGCTGAGGCTCACATTTCAGTTTATTCTAACGAGGTCTGTACTCTGTATGCATCTGGCCCTTTCACACCACCTCCCAGATCCCTTCATTCCTGTCAATAACCTTCAGTCCTCAGTGTCAGCTCCTCATTCCCAGTTCTGTATCCTATCCTCTGAGACATCTCCTCAGCTAGAAAAACTGGAATACATAAAAATACCATGACATTTCCAGAGAACTATCTATATCATCAGTTGCCTCTAAGGTGTCCAGAATTCACCTGCTCAAACTCATCTCATGTCAAACCCAAGCCATTCCTAAATTACAAAGCCTAGACTTATTTTTTTTAATCTTAAATGATCAATTTGAAAACTTTTCAGGTTTTGGTACACACACATACACAAAAGCAAAGGTCGCCCACTGTTCTAATGCATCAGGCAGTAAGATTATTTTAATGATTAGAGCTCAAATCCTGGAACTTAGCCTTTCACATCACCTATATCTCGTCCAAAGTAGTATGAAAATATGTTACAACATTAATGCCTTCTGCCAGGAGTAGAAACAAAACCTAAAACTGTTACAGGAACAGCAACTTTTCACTATTCACGTGGGTCAATAGATCAGGCAAACACTTGACCTCAAATGTGCCAAAGAACTTAGCCAAGAATTCATATAAAAAGGAAAACAGCCAATACCAAGCTATAATTTAGCCCTGTGAAGCAACGATATTAAGCAGAACTCTGGGGGACTGAGTAGAATCGTGATTTTATCTGCTGCTTGTTGAATTTTACGCCAAGTTTTTCATATTATCAAGCATGGTACTGCATAGTATGCGTGTGACTACCCAGGTGAGTTTCAAAAATGAAGTTCTTTATCTCTTAAATTAACCTTGGACTTCAGAATTAATCACTAGCTGGAAAGGAGAAAAGCCAAAGTTCCTTTCTAAAATTCATTTCAGTGCTGTATCAGATCAGAACAGGAGGGATAAAGGACTGAAAACTTCTGGGAGCAAACAAAAGTAAAGCTTCAAACTCCAGAAGCTGAATCCGTCACAGCAACTAAACTGTACAAACAATTCATGATATGTGTTGCCTTAGGATATTTTTAATGAGATTTAGTTTTTATTTTTTCCTTGCCCTGCTCTGCTGGCACATTTTTTTGAGGCTAACCACTCTCTTTTTGTGTCCTTGAAGTAACAGCTGCCAAAAGCAAGATCTGAGCACTTCAATCAGTAAGGTGAAGTTTAATTATTTCAGTACCTCTGTTGTGGCCTTTATATTTTCTGTACATTTTAACAAAAATTCATGAACATGCATGCACTACAATTCAGAATCTTTTGCGTCTTCACAAATGCTGTGACTGGTTCTGCCAGAGGTATGTGCAGAATTCCAGGTTCCTCCCAAGAGCTATGTTAGAGAGCCATAAGGATTGCTCTCCCACTTGGCAGCGAAGCCACAGCCAACAGCGACAGAATTTTCTTGATGAGAACAAAAAGACAGCTTGGTTATTAATAAACAGAAAATAAACTCCCCCACAACACTTGAGAGACAAAAAGACTCAAGCAATTTTATGTCTGATTGACTTAATAGCTGCAATAAACATAATAAAAGCAAAACAGTGAATTTGGCAAGCGGGCAGCTCTCACCTAAAGCTGGGCAACAGCAAAGAACAATTTGTGCTTCAAGGACTCCCCCACAAGTAAGACTGTCCATTTTGTGAACAGTACTACAGGAGCAACACTTAATACAGTTTAAACCAATACTTACACAAAACAGTGCAATGTTACCCCCAAGAGGTGAAGAGTAAAGAATGATTAGGTTTTAATTAGTTAGCAGAGCGCTACTGCTAACTCCCCGCTGTCTGCAAGAGAGCTCCAGGATCCACAAGTGGGGGGAAAGCAGACAGGGGTAATTCCTAAAATATTTCTCCACTGCAACAAGTCTAAACAGCTCCATAATATCAAATGCTGCTCATTCCTTCGAAAATTAAGAATTTAAGGTCAGCTCTGACAGCCAGTCATTTGAATCAACAGAAAACCAGGCAGAAGCAAGCTGAGGCTCAGCAGCATCTCTTCACCAATCTCTTTACTCTCTGTCTGCATCATTATTAAACTACTGACCTATTCAGAAAAAAAAATAGGTAAAAGGTATTTAAGGAAAAAAAAAGTGGAAGGAATTCCTTTACTCCAATGCTTCTTTCATGCATGTTCCTAGAGCTGGTGCTTCAGTAAGAGGAGATCCAGTGCTCATAAGAAAAGTACAACTGAGCAGTCACAGACGGGAGTCTCATTTTTAAAGCTCCTTTCTCTCCCCCATTACTTTTTTTTTTATAAGCAAGGGAAAGAGTTAAAAGAACGATGAAGAAATTCACTTAGCCCAATGTCTATTTCACATATAAGACTGATGGCTTTCCTGTAGCCTGTATTTCTATTCAATGACAGCAGAGCACTGAAAATGCCAGAATTCTGCTCCAATCACCCAAGATACCCAACCAAGTCTTTATACTCAACCCATTACCACTCATCACTCCTAAAACACAAAGCATCATTGACCAAGGGAAACCCATGCAATTTATTTTGTTGGCACCTGCGTATTATTTCACCTCTAAGACGTGACAGAAAGTGCTTTTCTTGGCAGCTGCAGCAAGGCTGGTGCTTCAGAGCTTTGAAGCCAAAGGCCAACAATTTTAGCCACTGAAGAAGTGAAAAAATACCTCCAATGTCTGTGTCCCTCTATTATCATAAATTTGAATGCAGACAACAATATTATTAAGCACTGTAGTGACAATTCATGGGGGCAATGGTTTAAAGATGCTCTCGATTTGTCTGTCATTGCTGAAAGGCACTGTCACAGTCACACCCCGCCACAAACTTGTACCTGACACTGCAGCTCATGCTGTCCAGCAAAAATTCCTCCCATCTCCAATAAAGCTAATCCTTCCAACAAATATTTTAATGCAAAATATACTGCTTATCCATATCCGCTGCTGTCACAGCCAGCGCCTCTGTCTTCGCTGACAGCTGAATGTCAGCTCTGAGCTTGACATGATGTATAAGAAAGTCAAATTATCTCATTACACAAGTTTTTAATGGAAACACAGATGAATACAAATCAGAGCACCTCTGCAGGGAACTCCTATGACAAATCAAGTCTTTGTCACTGAATGAATGACACTTGACGAAAGAATTCTCCCCAAGCAATAATTTCACCTGCACACCAGTCAGTTTTTCAAACGCAAGCAATTCCCTTTAATCCTTAAAAGCCCACGTGCAGAGCACAGTTATCACACAGAGCTACAACCACTTCCAAACAGGGCTGGATTATGAATTATCATACTGGAAATCATCTTTCTCTACTAGCTGTCCTCTGGATTTCTGTGGAATTAGGCACTTGATCCAATTATTTTCCATAGAAGAGGGTCTGAAAAACAAACAGCTTACAAAAATCCCGGGAAGAATATTGCTCAGTGCTCGTTTTATACACACACGGTGCCATAGGGTTGGTGCAAGGAAGGCGAGCGATCCAGAAGAGCTCCTGCAGAATGCAAAACTTGGCAAGAAGCAAGCGCTAAATTCGTACGGGAAGCAGCGGGAGCGATGTGGAGGGAGGAGACGCATCCTCAGCTCCCGGCACAGCGTCCTTCTGCACCTGCTGCCCTGCGAGAAGCGACATTTTCCCGGGAGCAGCCGGGTGGCTCCCAGCCCCAGTTTGTGAGCATCACGCCCCGCCAGCACCGCTCGGCACGGGCTCTGGGACAGACAAAAGACCGGCAAGGCCGAGCTATAAATCACACCAGGATCGCATTGCTTAGGGGGGCGATGCGCAGAGCCACGGGAGCGGCTCGGGGCCGTGTCCGTGAGCTGTCCCCGGCCGGGGATGGCAGCGCCGGTGCCGCGCTCGCCGGCTGCTGCTGCTGCGCTACTGCGGCTGCGATGGAGCCGCGTTCTACCTCTGCCTGCAGCTCCCGGGCTGCACACATGCATCTCGTATGCATCCCTACGTGCACGCATAGGGAGATAGCTGCGTGCATATAGGTATGTGTGTACAGATGGATACCCCGGCTGCTCCGGGCTCGGCAGCCCCACGCCGGCCCAGGGGGCGGCTCGGTGTCCCGCGGCCCCCCAGCACAGCCAGCCTGCGGGCAACGGGGACTCCAGGCTCCCATGGAGCCGCTGGCCACGGCTCCTCCCGGACACCCCGACCCCCTCCCCGCCGCCTCCCCACCCGGGGTCAGCCCCTCTCGGACACCGCGCCCAGGCACCCGCAGCTCCGCACCCGCCCCGCTCCCGCGGGGACAGAGAGCCCCGGTCCCGCGCTCACCGCCCGCCGGTGCCGCCTCAATCCGTGGCCGGCGGTGCCGCCGCAGCCCCCGCAGCACAATATGGCGAGCGGCAGCTCCGCAATGGAGCTCGGGAAATAGAGGGGAGTTACATATTCATGGCCGGGGCTGGGCAGGGGGAGCGCGGACGGGGCCGCCGCGCCCGGGCCGCCCCGCGCCCTCCTCCGCCTCCTTCACGGCCGGGGCGCGGCGGCCGCCGGGGCTGCTCGCTGCTTCCCCCGCCCTGCCCACACCTCCGGCCCCGCCGCCGCCAGTGCTCTATGTCCTTCTCCCTTCCCTTTCGTTTCCCGTTCCCGGGATGCGGCACCGCGTCCTGCGGGGCTCCCTCCGCACCACTGCCCCTCTCCTTTGACCGCCCTCCCCGGCCGGGGGCGGCTGAGCTGCGCCAGGAGAGGGTCAGGTCGCTCATCTGGAGAAATTCCTTCCCGGAAATTGGGATTAGACATTGGAGAGGGCTGACTGCCCTGGGGGGCGGTGGAGTCACTGTCCCTGGAGGTGCTTAAGGACAGGCTGGCTGTGGCACTTGTGCCACGGCCTGGTTGACAGGGTGACGTTGGGCACGGGTTGCCCTCGATGGTGCCGGAGGTGTTTTCCAGCCCCGGTGACTCTGTGGCTCCCTCAGGCAAGCTCGGGGCCGGGCGGGTGGCGGTGCCTGGGCCGCAGCGGGGCCGGCCCGAGCAGCCCCCGCTGTCCCCGGCGGGCCGGGTGAGCCTGCGGGCCGCAGGAATGGGGCGGCTGCCGGCTCCGCCAGCGAGCAGCCCCGAGGCTGAATGCACGGCCTCTGCTGGCTCTGCTCCCGGAGCTCCGGGGCGCTCGGACACCGCTCCCAGAGGGACGTGCCCGGAGGCCGAAGGCTGAGGGAAGCGCTGAGCCCGGGCAGGAGGCACCGAGCCCAGCGCCATCCCCACACTCTCAGGCCAGGGGACAGAGGATGAACCGGGTCTTGCGGTGTTTCTGTTCACGGTACACCTTCAGGTGTTCTCCAGCATCTCCGCTCTGGGGTCCTGACCTGAAATAAACGTTTGTTTTCCCGTGCCTGCGTTTTAACGCTTGGTAAGGTAAAATTGGTTTTATGAGCTTTGGGTTTTCAGAAGTGCCTTTACTGGTCTTGGCATTAACTGTTTTATAGCGATAGCAAGGCAGTGCACTTAGTGTAATTAAATCTGGTGTGAGTAAAAAGTGAACAGAGATCAGACGTGAGTTTGAATTAATACTTCAGTCTTTAATCATGCAGCAACATAATTAAGATTATTCGATATGGAGTATTTAAAGCAATTCAATACGGGGTATTTAAAGCAATTCAGTATGGAGCATGGTAAGTTTTCCTAGAGTGTTTTAGTTCGTGTTCTCATACTTAGAATATTTTAAAAGTCCTGGTTTGGACCTTCACCTCTCCTTGCAAAACTTCACATATTTTTGAGAAATTCTAGCCTAAGTCAGGTTATTCCTAGATAACTATTTTTATGGAGTAGTTACTTTTTATGGAGTAGCTTTTTATGGGGTGCACTCCCTTGGACCCCTTGTGACCTATACTGTGGCCTCTATAATTGATCCTTACGAGACATTGATAAATTAGTCAGGAAAAACATCTCTGTTTTCTAAGAGTGATCAAATGTCTCAGATAAATCCCAGAGGGAGTCAGCTGTGGACAGGATTTAAGAGTCCTTGTTCTTGATTTGGTTTCTTAAAGAATTATTTTTCTGAAGTGGGTTGTGTTGAGCTCTTTCAGTGTTAAAATTCAAAGCAGGTACAGAATGGAATAAGAGATTCTGATACATTCCTCTCTTTAGAATGACACTAGTCAGAACTAATGACTGAAATTTTTCTGAAGTTTCAGCTATTCATTAGTGCCAAGGAAAGGAAAATGTTGTCTGGCAAGTTATTGTGGTAACCAGAAGTGCCCTTTGATAAAAATTGCTTCTCTTCTTAATTGACTGCAGCACTGAGGTAAGTGAAGAAGTTCTGATACTAATGTACCACTGTTAGTAAAATTTGTCCTATGTGAGAAAAGCTTAATGCTGCAAAAATAAGATTTGCAAAATGAGAGCATGCAGTTGTCAGGAAGGCAGATCTCCAAAGGCAGATGGAGTGCAAGTGTTGGAATCACAGAATCCCAGAATGGTTTGGGTTGGAAGAGACCTTAAATTCATCCAGTTCCACCCCCCTGCCATGGGCAGGACATGTCCCACTATCCCAGGTTGCTCCCAACCCCATCCAACCTGGCCTTGGACACTTCCAGGGTCAGCCACAGCTTCTCTGGGCACCCTGTGCCAGGGCCCACCCACCCTCACAGAAAGAAATCTGGTAAAGTGCAAAACTATACACAGGCATGTAAATTAACAGACTGTAAACATTTCTAGGAACCTTTTGCTGAAAGACACAAAAAGAAATTCAACACATTTAAGCTGTGCTAATGGTGTCCAGCTCTCTGTATTTCTAGGAATATTGGCCTGATTCTGTTTTATATTTCCTGTATGATTTAATAGTGGCACCATGGATCTCCTCTGCAATGTGGTGTTCTTGCTGCTTTTAAGGATGTGAGAAAAGGCTGCCAAGTACTTTCCAAGTGCAGGCTGTCCTCCTGCCAAGCCATCAGCATGAGGGTTTGTGTTCAGGGCAGCTGTGGTGCAGATGCAGAGCTGTGCTCCCCAGCAGGAGCCCTGCTGGCACAGGGACACTGCTGCCATGGCCAGGGGATTGGGGACCATGTCCCTCATGCTCAGCACTCCCCAGATCATATCCTGATACTCTGCCCAGTCTGGGGCTCTCCCTGCAGGAAAGGCCTTGACAGACTGGAGGAAGGGAAGGCAAGGGAGGCCCCCAGGATGGCTGGGGCTGGAAAACTTCCCCTGGGAGGAAAGGCCATGGGAGCAGGGCTTGCTCAGCCTGGGGCAGGCAGGCTTTGGGGACCCTACACATCCAGCCCTTCCTGTTAGGTTATTGAGCCAAGGTGAGAGGTGACAAGAAGCCAAAACAAGAAAGTTCTAGATGAATACAGGGAAAGCCTATTCCCCATGAGGACACTCAACAGCAGCACAGCTGCCCAGCAAAGTTGTGCCATCTCCATCCTTGGAAGTTTTCCAAATGCAGGCAGTTCAAGCCCTGAGCAGCCTGGTCTGACCCCAGAGCTGACCTGCTCTGAGCTGGAGCTTGGACAGGGACTTCTGAGGGCCCCTCCAGCCCAAGATATCCATCCCATCATCCTGTGATTCTGCACTTGTGTGCAAGACAAGAAAGCCTGGGAGATGGATAATATTGTATTTCAATACAATACAATGCTCTGTGTTGGGAGCATTTTTGTTCTCTGCAGCAGATAACAAAACCATGCAGCATGAGAGCTGAGAGAGCTTTCATCAGCTCCTGCTTTCCACTGTTCCTGCTGTAATGGAAACAATTCTTCTGCTCCTTGCAGCAGCAAAATAATAATAAAGAAAATTACTCCAGTCAACTGAGACATGTTGTTTCCATGTCGTCCTTTCAGGTAAAATATTTATTATCTGTTAAAGTGATTGAAGGTCGCCTGTTCATTTCCTTTCAGAAACCAGCATAGAGAGAGAGAAGGAAGAGAAAATACTCATGTTGTAAAAATCTGAAGGCAGAGAACTGTAAATAGGGGGCAAAAGATGGGGAAAATCAGGAGAAAATGTCCATGTTGGTGCATTACTCCACTGTGGTACATTACAGTAAAGCAAGATAAGGATATAAATAAATGATAGCAAAGGAAAACTAAATGGGCATTGGTAGGATGAGGTAAGGTCTGCCCTAGCAGTAGTAAAAGAATCCTTTTCCTATGCCAGACAGAGCAGGAGGGATTTCTGAGGCATTTACCCTTTGTGCAGGGTACAAACTGTGTGCAGAGCAGCTTTGCTCAGGATCAACTCAGGTACAGTGTGGCAGGAGGAAAAGGCACTGAGGCTGTTCTGAACCAACTCTGGCTCAGGACCAATGGCTTTGCTACAGTTTAAGATTTAGATTCTTTAAAAATAAAGCAGAGCAAGCAAGCTGCATGATCTTGAATGAAAAATGTTTGATGTTATGAATGGGAAAGAAGGGAAACTAACCAAGATTGCTCAGCACAGATTGGTATTGTGATGGTAACTGTGATGTGCCTCTTCCTCCAGCAGAGCTCTAGCAGGCTGGTCAAAATGTCCAGTGGCAGTCAAGGGGAAAAGCCCTTTTCTGGATCATAAGAGACTTGCAAGATAATACCCCAGTGATATATCTGCAGAACTTTGCAGATTGTGGCTTTATTTTGAGGCTTGTAGACAAAGTAAGAGAGAGGGAGAGAGTTGGGGCAGGTTAACTACTCACAGAGGTTACATGAATAAAGGCAAATGGTAACAGAATCCATGTTGCTCAAGGATCAAAATGTACAAATTAGGGATCCTATTGGCTGTATTCCTCTGGAAAAGAAGCTTGGCATGAGACATTACAGGCTCTTCAGCATTCAGGCCCTGCTATTATTAAGTATTTGCTTTCAAAAAATAAAGTTAAAATCAGTATGTTGTAGCCAGCATTTGGACAGTCAGTGGTGACCCTAGAGGAAAAGATACTGCCAAAAACAGCTGCTGGTAAATCCAGAATGAGTTGGAAGTGGAAGAGATAGGAGCAGGTAGTAAAAGAATAGATCTCATTTAGGAAGGGTCAAAGACTTATTTTTCTCCCTCCAGTGTATCCCAAAAATTTCAATGTACTTGATCCCAGTAGAGCTTTAGTGGAGAAAGGCACTGCTCGGGCAGTGAGCAAGCAGGGACATCAAATCTTCCACCTTTGATGGGAACAGTGCCAGGCAAAGTTCTTTGATGCAAATAGGGAAATAAATATCTCAAATATCTCAACTCTAAACTTGTAATATAACAAAACAGAAAGATGATGATGATGATAATAACAATAATAATAATAATCCCACAACCACAGCTGGGGAACAACAGCAGGACACTGCTATCAGTGAACTGGTAGTAATTCAGAAGTGTTTTCATAGCAGCATTCAGAAAGTGAGTGTATCAGCAAAATAAAAACAGAGGTCAAAACTGGCCAAGAATTGGAGGAGTAGCTGCAAGATACTATTTATTATCTGTTTCATAA